TCCAAAGTATGCTGAAACATGGTGAAAGGAATGCAGACTAAAAGTGTTACGTTTGTTCGCAGAGTCACAGAGGTTTGGAGATGTAACCATGACATCTTCTGGCATGAAAACCCAGTTCGGTGGCATCCCTGTTAAGTGATTAATACATTGTTCCTAATGTTTATATTTGATTTTTATTTCCAATTTTATTTCCTTAGGAAAAACTGGTCGAGCCTGACATAGATGTTTGGAAGGTTCTTTTAAGCTCATCTCCATCCAGGTAAGATCCTTAACGTAAAGATTTCAATATCCTCTTGCTCCTCCCTTCTCCCAAAACATTTGCATATTCCATAGACCTTTCCTGAGATAGTGAACATGGTGCATTGTGGTCTAGMYTGGGTACAAACAGSTTTTGTTCATCATGCCTTATAAGGTGCTGTTTGAACTCAAGCTAGACCACAATGCATCATGTTTATTTAACTCAGAAAAGAACTGAGTGAGAGGGCAATCCCTTCTGATACTAACAAATCATCCCTCCCCTTCCCAAAACTTTAACATTTCAATTAATAGGGCACTCCCTACTAATACAAACAAATCATCCCTATGCTCCCCTCCCCAAAACATATGCACATTACAATTAAGAGGGGCACTCCATACTAATACCAACAAATCATACCTACCCTCTCCTCCCCAAAACATATGCACATTACAATTAAGAGGGGCACTTCCTACTAATACAAACAAATCATCCCTACCCTCCCGTCCCCAAAACATATGCACATTACAATTAAAAGAGGGGCACTTCCTACTAATACCAATAAATAATCCCTTCCTAGACTCCCTTGGATATGTCCGTGCATTACAAACGATTTTCATTATTTTCCTATTTCTACAGAGGTTCCCTAGAGTTTCTGTCAGTTTACCTTCAGCTTTGCCCATTACCCGAGAGTTTCCAGCCAGCAAGCTCCCTTGTTTTAGCCTCGTCATCTGAACGAGGCTCCTTTCCCTTTCGTCGACATCTTCTGGACTGGCTGCTTCCGTTATCAGAAGCAGGAGAGGGAGGCAAATCAACGCCTGTTCTTCTCACTCCAATGTCCTCAATAAGGTGAGACACTGTATTTAACGAGTGAACATTGATAAAGAGGTTTTGACCATCACGTGATGGCAGCCATGACAGGAGGCAGTGCAACATAATCTTTTTGCCCTTAGAAGCTGAATTCTTTCTCATGTAAATTAGATTAGACCAGATCCAATTGTTCCTGCCTCCTGTCATGGCTGCTATCACGTGATGGTGCATAGCCTCTATAGCCGGGTATTTTAATAGCACTTTAAAGTGAATTTCATTTCATACTTCCTCAAGGCACGAAGGCTCCTTGGATTCCTTGGGGCTTATTATGACTTCCAATCTTCCATGTCAATAAACATCTTACTGAACATGAAGGGTGTCGCGCTATTCGTAGTAAAGATTCCTTTCAGATTCTTGATAACGCACCCACGGACTTCCTGCTAAAGATCAAAGAGGCGATGTACCTCAAATGGGAAAACCCTTCCCTAATAGTCAAGTCAAACACATTAACCTTTGTCTTTCCATTTGATTTCATTCCATTGTGTTTTTTTCTTCCGCATCGTATAACATTGTATTCACTTACATACATATTCATTTATCAGCTATATATAACTGAGCTTTGTGATCATTATCCACTGATGATGGCAGCAGGACTGCCGAAACTTGTTATATTATACCTGAAGACTTCAAATCTGTCCTGACATGCGATCCAACTTCTCTTATCTGCATTGTTAAACTGTATTAAAGCATCCTTCATGATAGGCCATCTACTTATATGTTTCTCGTTTTAGATTCTTCAGCACGAAGATTATGGCAGAAATCATAGCATCATTGTGCTTGCGAGTCCCGAGCTCCGCTTTGTTCACYGCAAAGCAGGCAAAGAGGTAAGAGTCAAAAGCTGATATCAAAACATTTAAAAARCCTTTGCATTGCTTGCCATTTTATTTTTCTTTGGATTCCTGACTAGACCTATTTAGCTTGGGCATCAATATTCACTAGCTCACTGTATGTGACTGCAGAGTCTGAAGCCTCCAAGAGAAGCGTGCATTGTAAAAAATAAAGGGGGGGGGGGGAGACTTATCTCGGAAATCAGTCAGGAAATTCGATAGAAATCACTGGGAAACTTCAGTAAAAAATCAAGACTTACCTTGACCTCATTTGGATCKACTTTCTTTCACCTTAGATGGAGTGTTAGTGATAGTCCCTTTTTTGTTTGGTAAATACCGCTGTGTTTTATGACTGAAGACTCATCTGTTCAGGCTAAGCCTTGTTTAAGAGCAAATCATTTACAAACGTCAACTGTAAAGAATGGCAGCTTGAACAATACCGATGTTTTGAAATTTAACGTATTCTAATTATAACTGTGAATCGCTGACTTAAAAACAAACTAACCTGTCCAAGTGAATCCGTTTTCTTTAAAAACATTGGTATGTATCAAATGAGAAACTGGTGCATTGGGAGGGATGGCAAGGGGTAGCCAGGCATCTCTCTTATTTGCCTTTCTTCGGCACTTGGGAACCCTGTGTGATGAAGGAGAGAGGGTCACACACCACAGGTAGCCCGCCAAAGAAGCAGTTAAAAAAGGCTCCGGAGGATGCATGGTGCCGGAGGGGTTGGGGTTACGATTTGACTAGGATAATAAATGGGCAGCAAACTACAAGCAATATTTTTTTAAATATTCCTACTGTCCTTTATTTATCATCATCTTTCCATTTATCTGTTTCCTAGATCTGGCGCCCCTTACAGTGGCTATCCTTTTCAGAAGGAGTTGTACGATTTGGAAAARCTTTTTATTGAGTCATCCTTTGATGAAGTAAGAAAATATTATTTCAATTTAAATAAGGAACTTACAGTACTGACACGAACACAGTACAGGATAAATGCTTCCAAAACGCTTTCGTTTTTTCGTCTTTTCGTCCATTGTTTCGTTCTTTCGTTTATGCTTCGTAATGCTCGTTCTTTGCTTCGTTCTAATTTTGTTTATTCCTTCGTTCTTTCGTTTTCTCACAGTACTGACACGAACACGGTACAGAATAAATGTTTCCAAAACGCTTCCTTCGTTCTTTCGCTCATTGCTTCCTTCTTTCGCTCATTTTTTCGTTCATGCTTCGTCATGCTCGTTCATTGCTTCGTTCTTTCGTTTTCTTCGTTCTTTCTTTTTTCCCTTCCTTTTTTTCACTTCCTTCCTTCCTTCATTGCTAATTCCTTCCCTACCTCCGTATTTTCGTTTCATTATTTGTTTTTCCTCTCTTTTTTTCTCATTCTCATCTATCCATCCGTTCCTCATATTTGCGTCTTACCTACTTTTCTCTTTCCTGTTTGCAGGACCAAATCGACAAGCACTACCTGGAACAARATCCCCAGAACCATCTTTCTTACGCTCCCCGTGAAGCTTCAAGTAACAGCATCCCAAAGCTACATTCCCTTCTTCTCGACAGACTCGCACTTCTTGCTGATAGTCTAACAGAGTTTTTTGATTCAGAGACGCAGTCTATTGGATCTTCTTCAAAGGATCACTTTGATCTCTTAACGAGACGTCTTTGGAGTTACGCGCGCTATTGCACGCTGGTATGGCACGTGGTATCTTGTCTGTTGCAAAGCAATGTGATTGGTCCAATTGAACTTAGAAATATTGATGCTGTCAAGAAAACTGGGGTATGGCTGAATCTTAAAGTACATAACTATAGTACTAGTGGCCGTAACGTGATCGTAAGAGATCGATAATAATAATAATAATATTATACCTTATACCTCCTTACCTATCCATATCTACCTATCCGTATCTTACCAAACCACTCGCACCTTTCCTTGATTAAAAGAGCCATCCACCCACCATTCCACCTTCTTCTATACCCAATCACTTACCGGCCCTACTAACTTAGATTCTTAGCTACTTAACTGACTAACTCAAATTGCATTTAATGCCTAATTGCTTTCGTACATGTGTAGGTATCCTCCCTCCCGCTTGCCGATGGCTTGCCTGGCTCCCTCGTACTGGTCTGCATGTCTCCTTACTTTTTGCCTGTCTKCTTGCCTCCCTCATGCCTCCTTCCCGCTACCCTGTTTCCTTCCTCCTGCCTCCCTTCTGCTCACCTGCTTCCTTGCTGTCTCCCTCCTGCTTGCCTACATATCTCCCTTACTACCTGCCTGCCTGCCTCCTGCCTGCCTGCCTCCTGCCTGCCTCTCTCCTGCCTGCCTCCCTTCAGCCTCCCTCCTGCTTTCCTGCATGCCAGTCCCGTTTCAACTGCCTGTCTGCCTAAATATTTGCGCACTTCACTGCAAACCAACYAGAATGTACATTAACTAATAACTATCTTTTCAGTTGTTTTTGAAAAGACTCGATAGTTCTATTAGCGAGAGGTTTCTATCAAGTGAGTTAGATGTCACATCCAAGGCTGAGATTATGACAAACATCCTTCAAGAACTACAAGAAATGCTTACAGTGACGCTAGTAAGTCCGTAGTTAAATACTCGAATATAAACAATATATAGAGCTGTTTTCAATGGTTGTCTGTCTTAACAATAAAATGGCTTCCCTTGAGAATGGTTTTTGTATGATTGGGAGGCGCGCGGTATCGATTACAAGAAGGATTCAGAATGGTTATGTCTGTCGTAACAATGAAATGGCTTCCCATAAGAATGGTTTTTGTATGATTGGGAGGCGCGCGTTATCGATTTCAACAAGTATACGAAATGTTTATATCTGTCGTAACAATGAAATGGCTTCCCTTAAGAATGGTTTTTGTTTTTTGTTGACTRTTAACACGGAATTTACTTTTAATTCAATTTTAGATATTTATAATGACAGTTTTTTTGCTTTTTTAATCTTAGCTGTAAATATGTATATATATGATTTTGATTTTGTAAAGCGCCTGTGTACATATCCAGATGGAACACGCGCTATATAAATACATTATTATTATTATTGTATGATTGGGAGGCGCGCGGTATTGATTACTAGAAGGATTCAGAATGGTTATGTCTGTCGTAACAATGAAATGGCTTCCCATAAGAATGGGTTTGGTATGATTGGGAGGCGCACGATATTGATTACAAGAATATTAAAWTGGCCTCCTTGGCATATTTTCGTGCAATACATCCAATCGAAACACTTGGATATACGTTTACGTTAAGATGTAAGTTATGACAAGAATATTGTGACAATGTTTATTGCTCACGAAATCTGCTCAACGCTATGCACTCTTTGTTTTTAAAGGCAAATCCCGCCAAGATGGTTCCTATATTGAAGAAACTAATGCCATCCAACTTTGTAGACGATTTAATAAAGATCTATCATGGCAGGGTGAGTCAATTTAATAACGGCCGTGCCGGGTGCTCGGGGTCTGGGGCGGGGCGGAACTATGACGTCATTCAAGAGGAAACGTCAMCATCGATCTATACTGTGATGTAAACACGTTGGGAGCTGTAGAGCACGAGAGAAGCAAGCCTAGGAGCACGAGRCGTAGATTCTAGAGTGTTTATATCACAGTACAAAGACATAAGCAGGCGTTTTATATTGCTTTTATRAAATTTGTGAACGATTTTGCGCGAGCGTGTCTATCTCCTCAGCCAAACAGCACGCGGCTTATATTTCGAATATTTTATAAAGACTARTACAGATGCATTTGTATTTCAAGTGGGGCCAGTCTTTACTTGGTAGCACGAGACTTGACGTCACAGATAGTAGTTTCCTGAACCAAACGGCTGGTGGAATGTCTTCGGATGAAGATGGCTTTGATGATTTTGAAATGGAAGTATCATCCAATGACCTGGACTCCACGGCCATGATAACAGCTGTTCCCCAGGCAACCAATTCCACTGCCAGGAACGGTAAGTCAAAAAATTCACGGATATCTGAAAAATTACTTTTTTTGCCCGGATGTTTTTTTTTTGAATACCGCAGACTGAGGCTGCTCGACTTTTCTTGCAATTTTATTTTCATTTGTAACCTATTCTTTCGGCTGGAAAGCTGCAGAGGTGTGCTACAAGTGAAGCTTCCTACGCTGACATTCTTAGGGTCGTCACGTAATGTTTCCCTCCCCAAGTGAGAAGCTTTGCGTGACTTTAAGGACGTTTATGTAGGAGGCTACTACGAGTAAGGCGTTRCTGTATCTTGTGTCACAAAGGTGTTGTGAGCAAAAATGTGAAAAAATATTACAAAACTGTTTTAAACAGCTGCGGTGCCAAGTAATCAGACTAGTCCATCGGTCACCGCGGATTTTTGTTTGGATACAGAGCTTTTCACAGGACAACTAAAACAACGCACACAYAGAACCCAGCCAAAAATCTTTTCAAGACATTCAAAGTGGCAGGTATGCCATAACTGACGCATGCCATTTACAGTTATTTCATAAGGTTGGTAAAGGTGTTTTTTGCATGTTGCATGCTGCATACTACGTGTTGCATGCTGCATGTTGCGTGTTGCATGCTGCATGTTGCGTGTTGCATGCCGCATGTTGCATACTGCTTGTTGCGTGTTGCATGCTGCATGTTGCTTACTGAGCTTGAAATTTATTATGGCCATATGTAAATAATGCCAGCAAAGATTAAGCCAGAAAAACTTGCTGACAAAGTTTATAAAAATGCTGTTTTYTTAATTAGAATTTTTGACCTCTCGCTGATTAAATTCAGTTCGCCCATGGTGTAGTTCGGGCTTGATATGCAACAAGCAGCAAAATCTTCACCAACCTATTGTCGAAACATCTGTGTACTTCGTGTAGTCATCTGAGTACTAACTTGTGATAATGAGTGTAGCCTCTAATGAGTGGTGTATTCTATTTTTCATAGCATATGGTACACTTCGTAAGGTGGTTGCCATGTTTCTCTCTGCCTGGAGCTCTCTTGAGGTAGAAAGTGGTTTGTCA